AACATATATGAAGGGGTATTAAAAAGTTTGTGGAAAAATGAAATAGAAAGATAATGAAATTTTGAGCCCCCCGCCCCCCTTTGTAGCTCTGTTGTTCTTGTGAAGTACCTTCAAGTCAGTTGCAACCCATAGCGACACTCTAGAGGGTTTCTGAGAAGCAGCTGGTGAGCTTGAACTGCCAACCTTGCAGTTCAAACGGCTTTGCAGTCTGGTGCACTAACCCACAGCGGCACACCAGGACCCCACTTTTAGTTCTACTTCTGGCAAAAATAGCATAAGAAGCCATATCCTGTGGATACTGAGTCCTATTTTCTAAACTGCTTGAAATGTCTCAAAACTGCTTCAAAGTAAAGACCACACTGGTTAAATCCTACAGTGGTGGTGGTAATGTGCCGTGCAGTTGGTTCCAACTCATAGCGAACCTGAATAGGGTTTGCAGGGCTGTAAATCTTTACAGGAGCAGAAAGGTTTATTGGACATAAATAATTTGAGATTTCCCCATGTAGTGCAAATGGTCAAGTAAATCATCATCATGAAAAATCTAGACAAAGTTCCTGCACCAACCAAAATACCAAGATGATACTTAAAAAAATATCAATAGTTTTCTCCTATAGATACATATGTATCCACACACATATATACATACACAAGCATGCATCCCTTAACGATAAAAGATACATTCTGTGAAACAGGACATTATGAGATTCGGACGTTGTGTAAGTACCATATTATATACAGAAAGAGAAGCATGGAAGACAGTCATTGGTTGGCCTGTGACCCACTAGCTACTGTCATTCCAAGGAACTATAAGAAAACTTCAGGTCAGTCTCCATTGAGTCTGCATGGTAGCTGCCTACCCTATTTGACTGGCACCCACCAACCAGGGCAAAGAGTCTCTATCCAGCCAACCGCTTTCCTGCTTCTCCTCCAGCCACCACTGCAGCCCAGACCACTCTGGGACCACCACTGCAGGAGGTGCAGCTGCCTCTGGCCTGGGCCAAGTTGGGCAGCAATTTCAGCTGGCCATCCCCCTTGAGGACTTCAGCAGGATTTGCATTGGACCTACAGAGCTAGTGAGATATTGATCCGATCTTCAGATTTCGGTACTTAACAAAATACATTTGCTACACATCCCATTATCCAATCGGCATTTCTGAACTTTATAGTATTTACGACATACTGTCAGGAGGGATCAGTCGCTGGAGAAGGACATCGTGTTTGGTAAGGTGAAAGGTCATAGAAAAAGAGTAAGACCCCCAGCGAGATGGACTGGCCAGGTGACAGCATCAATAGCCTCAAGCGTGGCAACAATTGTGAGGTTGGCCCAGGACCAGGCAGTGTTTTGTTCTGTTGTGCACAGGGTCATTATGAGTCGGTACCCACTTGATGGTGCCTAACAGCAACAACAACAGTTTTTATGTGTCAAACACTACTTGAAATGACATTTAATATCACATACCTCTGTGTGTATCTGTGTGCATATGTGTATGTACACGTATGTTACTGTTTAGTGCCATCAAGTGAGTTCTGACTCATAGCAACACTGTATAGGGTTTCCAAGGAGCAGATGGTGAGTTTGAACCAGACTTGCTGTTCAAACTGACTTTGAGGTCAAGTGCTTATCCTATGGAGCCACACTGTACATACACATGGAATCCTGGTGTGGGTCCATAGGATAAGCACAGGGCCACCAAGGTAGGTTTGAACTATAAAGTTGGCAGTTCAAACTCAGCAGCCGCTCATCGGAAAACCTATGAGTCGGAATTGACTTCACAGCACTTAACAACAACATATATATGTGCATTCTTAGGTAATGAGATACTTGGCTGCTAACTGAAAGATTGGAGGTTCAAGTTTACCCAGAAGAACCTCAGAAGAAAGGCCACTGAAAACCTTAAGGAGCCCAATCCTAGGTATACCCAAAGTAAGTGAAAGCAGAAATGCAAACAGAAACCACTGTTCATTGTACCACATTTCACAATAGCCAAAAGGTAGAACTCTATATATATGTATATATACACAGATAAATGGATAATCAAAATGTTGTATATACACACAAAGGAATATCAGCCATGAAAAGAATCAATGTCCTGATGTTGGCCAGATACGAATAACCTTGAAAACATCATGCTGACTGGAATAAGTCAGTTACAAAAAAACAGACACTGTGTTACCGCACTTAATAAGCAAAGACATAGAAACCAAAAGATTATTAACGGGCAGACGGAGGAGAGGAGGCACTGAATTTATGTTAATGGTAGCAAATTCATTTTAAGAAGTATAATGGTAACGAGTGCATAACATGAAGAATTTAACAAATGTCAATTGCACGTGTAGAAATAAGTGACTTGAAGAATGTTTTTATTCTCATACATTAAAATGAAACAAGCCTATGGAGCACAGTTATACTATGACAAACATGGGTCACCATGAACTGGAATTGACTGGTTTATAAATACACATATGCATCTTTGTATTTATAACAATAAATACCTTTAGTATGCGACTATAGTCTATAGAAGGGGTTTCAAATAATTAAGATTTTAGAAGGTCTCTCATCTTGTTTAACCTTTTCAGAAATGAAAAAAAAAAAAAAAGGCACTGAAAACTAAAGTCACACACCCAGTCATCAAATTGCTAGTCTGTTTCTCAAAGTATAAAATTCCGCCTAAGAATTACACAGGTGACTTCTGGCAAGATGGTAGAAGGCAGACACACTATACAGACCTCTACAAAAAAGATATGGAAGACCAAATGAAACAGACCCAGAGGACAATCCTGGAACCCTGAGCTTCAGAGGAAAGGTTAGAGAAGTGGATTGAATACCTACTGGGAGAAGAAGCTGAGAAACAGGAAGACTGACTGGTGAACAGACGGCAATCGATTCATACATATAGAAAATTACACTGAATGTAAATTGATTAAATGCACAGTCAAGAGACAGACAGTAGCAGAACAGATACAAACTTTGGTGTATATATACAATGGCATACTATGCAACACTGAGACAAATCTGCAAAACATATCATGACATGGATGAACCTGGAGCATATTATGCTAAGTGACATCAGTCAATCACAAAAAGTCTAATAATGTATGAGAAAACTGCTGTAAGAAGTTAAGAAAAGGTTTCCTTGCTAAAAGAAACCTTCTATGATGATTAGCAGGAGTGGAAGGGAAGGGAAAATTATTCACTGGATAAATGGTAAACACATGCTAACTTGGGTGATGGGGAAGGCAATATACAACAACAGGTGAGTTGGAAGAGGGAAGATGACGGTAATGAAAGACACAGGAGGAATACAAGAGTTAAAGAGAATAGAGGTAAATACTGTTAACTGATGGTACATGGAAGGGACTGCTATCATTGTAATGACACACCATGTATGATTTATTGAATGTGGGAGTGATGATCTGTTCTGTAAACCTTCACTCAATAAAAAGTTTAAAAAGAAAAAAAAAAAAAATTACACAGGTGACTGGAAGCAATAGATTGCTGAACACCACATGAGAATGACTAAATCTGAATCTCTGAGGATGGAACCTGGGAAAGAGCATTTTATCCATTTCCTATGGATATACACAGTGTATATCTTTCAGTTTGAAGCTCCCTAGGTTGGCTACTCATAGCAAGACTAGAACAGAAGTTAGGTTTCCTGAAACCCACGCTATGACTCTACTACATCGTACTCTCTGTTTCAGTCATGCTGCCTGCATTCAGAACTCAATCCCAAACCCACTACCATCGAGTCAATTCCAACTCATAGCAACCCATAAGACAGAGGAGAACTGCTCCATCAGGTGTCTGAGGCTTAGGTGACCTCATCTTTCTCCTGGGGACAAGATCGTGGGTTTGACCCACTACATAACCAGCACTCTTTAACCTGAACAAGATATAACATATTTAAAAAGAAATATATAGAATTGTAGTGAACAGCACAGGGTATAAAAGCCACACTGTTAGGTGCAAATTCCCACTATGCCTCTTACTAGTTATATGATCTTAGACAAGTTGCTCAATTCTTTGACTTATCTATAACGAGGGCAGAGTCCTGGTGTGGCAATGTGGGTTAATGCGCTGGACTGAAAAGTCGGTTTGAACTGCAAAGGTGGGTGGTTCCAGCTCCTTGGAAATCCTATGCAGGGTCACTATGAGTCAGAAATGACTCAACGGCACTTAACATAATGAAGGTAACAGAAGGCCTACTTTTTCTGTGAGAATTAAGTTACTACATATAAAAGGTTTAAAATAATGACTGAGATATAGTAAGACCTCAATAATATTGTAGTATTATCTGATAAATCTAATATTATTTAATAAAATAATTTAACGTTAATATGAAGAATTTTTTTAAATATCTGGGAACGGCAACAGCCCCTTAATTATAACATGGTCTTCAGTCATAATAACAATCTACCCCAGTACAGAAGATTAAGCAATCGGATTACTTAAAAGACAAGTTCATGTAGATGTTCTATATGCTAAAAATTATAAGACATTTTGGTGGTAAGAAAAACATATTAAAATCTCATTATCATATGGTTAAAATTATATGGTTAACTGATTTCAATTTATCATGCCATCTCAACATCATTCCCAAGCTAAAGTTAAAATGAGTAAGTGTATTTTAATTTACATCATAAAGAATATAACAAAAAGCACAGTCAGTACTAAAAGCATGAAGATGAAAATAGTAAAAGAGGTGGTGGCAGGAAGAGTAGCAGTGTTAGAAAGTTGTATTGATGTAATACCATGTTCTTCATTAATGCAATTTCTTCAATCCTTAAAACTTATCAAGTAGACATTTTTTTTTAAATTTTGTTAAGTCAGGGAGATTTTAGAAACTTGTCTAAAATCACACAGATCATGAGCAATGGGACAAGGATCCAAGCCCAGGTGTATTAGTCTCTAAATCTGTGCTCGTAACTATTACACTGAGCTGTTATAGACATAGAAACTGTTAGCACCTCCTGTACTACTGAAAGTCAATACTTACCACCAAAGGCTTACAGATACCAAGGCGGACAGTGCCTGGCGGTACACCTTTCAATATTTCCACAGCCTCAGCAAGTGTGGTGTTGTCTAAACAGTGTTCATTGACTGAAATCAAACGGTCGCCAGGTAAAAGTTCTCCGCCCCGTTCTGCTACACCATCCGCCACCAGAGAACGAATCACAATTACCGATCTTGTAGAATCTAAGGGATCCTAAGAATAAACCAAATAAGAAAGATAACTGATTTCCAGAAAGCAAATATAAGTCTTAAGATGGCTTATGTTTACTAACAAATCTCATTTGACTATTGATTTAATTTGTCCGTCATTCTGGTGATAATCTTCCAAAGTGGTTAAAAGAAATTAAAATAGCACTCCACATGCAAATATCTGCTTGTGTCAAGGTGAAGATATAACCTTAAGGATTTCTATGACATGACTCAGTTCATGTCCAATACATATGAATTTCTTTATGTCTACAACAGGGTTGGGGAAAGTTAGGCAAAATCCTCTGACTTGTTCATGCACAGTCATACCATGGAGTAAAGACAAAGCCCATTGATGACTCCTCTTGGGCAATAAGCGGCCTCTTAGAGAAATCAGTACAAAATCTCCTTTCACTGAAGTTCAGGAAAAAAATGTAAATTCCACTGCATTGAAAAAATATACTTAATATGACCTTTATTTTTAAAGGTAAGTTTAACAATAGCATAATCTAAAATTATGAGATGATATACGTGCTACTAAGGAGGCCTGATGGTGCCAACTGGAAGGTTAGCAGTTTGAATCCACCAGCTGCTCTGTGGGGTAGAAAAAAAAAAATGAGGTAGCCTGCTTCTGTAAATATTTACAACCTTGAAAAGTCTCTGGAGCAGTTTTGCTCTGTCCTATAGATGCTCGATTCATCAGTAGTGAAAGAGAGAGAAGCCTCTAAATAAGAAGGATAGTAACACATAACAAAGCAAAACCCACTGCCGTCAACTTGATTCAAACTCATAGCAACCCTACAGGACAGGCTACAACTGCTCCATGGGGCTTCCAAGGCGGTCATCTTTACAAAAGCACATTAGCTCATCTTTCTCCCACAGGAGAACTGGACTTTCAGGTAATAGTCCAATGTTTAATGCACTGCACCACCATGGCTACCTCTTTCATATCTTTTTCACCCTTTAGGTCCCCACATATCTTATTAAATTCTGCAGATAATGTCAGCGTTCAACAAATATAATTAATTAATAGCATCCTAACCTATAGATCCAAATTATGTGGGCTTTTTTCTTACTTTAAAAAAATATTCCCAAGATTAATTTTCATGTTATTCAACAAACACTGTTAAATAATGCTTGCCTTATTATAAGTCAAGATTTTTTCTAAATGCTTGACAATTTTCAATTCATGTAATCTTTATGACTGTATGCTGCACGCAAATTTACTGACTGTACTTTACTAATAAAGAAACTGAGGCATAGATACTGTAGGCCAAGATCACTTACAGAAGAAACTGGACACAAAGTGTTGAGAATGAAAGATAGAAACACATCCACACTGAAATTGGATGGTTCAGTAATATCTCCCTAATACTGGTGGTATGCTGTTGATCTGGTTTTGACTCATAGTAACTGAAGGGTTTCCAAGGCTGCAAATCTTTACACGAGTAGGAAGCCTCATCTTTCTACCATTAAGCAACTGGGAGATTCAAACTGCTGACCTTATGATTAGAAGTTCAGCTTGTAATTCATTAGGTTAACAGGGCTCCTTGGAGGTATATGTTACTAATAGTAAACCCCAAAAATAGGAAGGGAGAGAAAAAAATAATTAAATCTTAATCACAACAGCATTTACTTTGGTTTGTCTATTTTGTTCCAATTACCTCATTATGCTCATAATGTTCCATAAAGACAAGGCTTTGTAGCATGAGATTCTACTGTTAGCTTCTAATAAACCCTCTGTGTGAAAGTGGAGAGAAACTGCCAGGTTTTGTGTTAGCATTACAAAGCTTTGGATTTAGCAAAGTAAGATTTTGCCAGATTCCAGTCGATGTCTGTTTTAAGTGGCTGATAGTTCTTCTGAAGTTTTTTTATCCTATTTTCTATACCTCTGTATTTCAGACATGAGTATTTATTTTCAAAACATCACATGGAATTTTAATCAAATAACCTATGCCATAAAACTCCCCTTCTTTTTCACCCCCAAATCAAGAGACTTCTAGTAATTTTTCTACATTCTGATATATAACACTACAAACTTATGCATATTATTAGAAGCAAAACACAGTCATGAAAAGTCATTAATAAGGTACATAATGTTAAGCTATAATTACACCAATATTTTCAAGTAGAGGGAGCTATTGCATAGGAAGAGAACCAAAAACTGTACAGTGGTATATCAGCAGGCAATCAGCGCTGTAATATAAAAGAGCTGTCTATTTTGTCACCGGCAACCATGAATCACAACACACTTTTCATTCTGAAATATGAAACCATTACATTTTAAGTTTGACACACTAATAAATAAGCTGTACAATTATGTCCTTCATTTAGGATGTCAGTTTTTGATGAAAGGCTTTTTTATTGGGGGGGAAGGGAAACTACATAATAGCCTATTCTCCTGCTGAAATGCACAGAAGCAGCTGTGCATTTCATATGAATAATTACTTCATATTAATAATTACTAAAATTTCTTAGAGAAAATTACAACAGTAAAACATACCAAAAGCAAACAAATGACTTAATTTAGCGGGTGTGAGCACTCTGCAGTGTCATATAAAACCGATTCAAAAAGTACTATTTTTAACCCAGATAGGTAGAAAGGTTTTCAAAATTAAACTAGTTGAAATGGTACTCAGAAACATTTCAAAGGAAGGTTAACCCAGAAATAATGAAAATAGAATTCTATCCTGGAAAGATGAAAGGCTTCCTTACTGTAAAGAGTTAACAGTGCGACGCACCAGTTTACAAACGCAGCTCTCTTCAGACACTAAACTAGTATCAGGAGTGCTTGTATACTAAGCTCAGTTGGGTTCAGAGCACTAGTTATTCTAAACACTACATCGAATCAACCACTACTTGTTTCCTGGAGGAAAGAACCCAATGGCAGTTTGCCACTTTCAAAAAACAAAACAAAACAAAACAAAAAAACCAGACCCACACACCTCTGAAGATGTGTTATGTATAATCGCTACTTTGTTTTCTATGATGACTTTTCTGACTGTGTGACTTTCCACATAGCTGAATGAAGTTGTTTTAATGAAGAACAGTCATTTCCTTTCATAACCATCACATGCAGCAGCCACACGATGAAAAACCAGCAGCTGCTACTGCCTACTGGGGCAACTGCTATTCTTGAGGCTTTGCTACATGGAAAAAAAAAGCTTGCATATCAGCCAGATTCAGTCTGCTTCTCAACAGACAGGTCTGCTTTCTGAAAATACAGTGCTCACCATATCCTTCACAGGTTATAGCAAACAAACCATAGTAACAATATTTTTGTAGATCTCTCTCCAACCTCTAGCACTGAATTGGATTTTTTAAGTCTTCATAAGTTTTTATCAATTTTTACAATAATTTTCAGATCTTTAATTTGTCTTCTTTTAGTTTAATAACTGCAAGGAATATTTTGTTCAAGAATGAAGATTTTGCTCAACACTAAATAGCCAATAGAGGGCACTAAAGACCAATCATAGAACACAAGGAATATCACTGATTACTATACAAACCTTTCTCTTCTAAAGGAATTTTTTCCTCTTTATTCCAAAGCCTTTTTGAATTAATATTGTTAAAAACAGTCAAACAGTATCTCTAACGTTTGCTTCAACTCAACCATTTATGCAAGTTGTTCTCTACAGCTCTGAAAAATATTACTAAACTCTTATTATCAATTAAAACAGTCATGACATGGGATGAAATACTTTTTTTAAACTTTCATCAGAATATTCCAACAGAAGACCTAACCTGAATTCTATACCTTACTACTTCACTATGGAATCCTGGGTGAACCACTTAACTACTCTGTCTTACAGACAAACAAAACCATCCTGCTTGTCTAAAGGGCAGTAGATGAAAGGATTTTTGAGCTGGGTCAATGCTGGAGGAAATCTGAGTTGACATACTCCTCGTCCAGTGTCTAACCATCCACCTGAGCACTCACTGACTCTCCATGCTCCCGATCCCCCACCTAGTTGATCATCATTAAGCTTATCAATGAAATTGAGCCTTCTCTACTTCCACTGACACCACCTTGGTTCGGATTCTCATTACTTCTCAGTCTTCCAAAATGTCTCCCTGTCTCTAATACAGGGCCCTTTCAGTTCATTCTCTATACAGATAATGAAATAATCTTAAAAAATACAAATGTGACCTGGGTTTCCACCTGTTTAAAACACTTCAGTGAGCTACTTCGGCTTTCTGGATGAACTCCTAAATCCTGGGAAGAGAACTTCTTTAGATCTGCCACGCAGTCTCTTCTCTTCTCACAATCCCCATGCATACCACTGCCTACCCCCACGTGCTCCACACCTTGCACCAACAATAAAGAACTACTGAAATTCATGGGCTGTGAACTGCTCTGGCATACTTTGTAACATGTATGTGCCGATCCACGTGCCAGGGACATTTTCCCTACCTCACTGCCAGCTGTGGCGCTTTAGGATAAACACTGGACCACAGGGTTGGGTTGAACCACAAGGTCGGCAGTTCAAACTCACCAGACATTCCTTGGAAACCCTACACAGGGTCACTATGAGTCAGAACTGCCTCAGCGGCACTTAACGACAACAACACTGCCATTTACCTGCATCTTTGCCACCAGAATCAGCTCAAGTCTACCCTCCAATGCCAAGTCCCCCGATTTTGCAAGCAGATTTCCCACACATTGTCTACCCTGTGATGGCCTAAACCTAAAACAGATCTTGCATTATATCATTTATCATGAGAGGCTTCAAAACGTTTGAGAGAAAAACTGAATGAAAAATTTCCATGAATTTTTGAAACCCCTGATGGCCCCAAATAAGTTAGTCCTCCTGTAGCTGTAGTGTTGTTGTTGTGGTTAAGTGCTGGCAAATTGGTTCCAACTCTCAGAGGCCTTGCATAGGGTTTCTGAGGAATAGCTGGTGGGTTTGAAATGCTGATCTTGTGGTTAGCATCTAATGAAACAAAATGTGCATTGGGATTGTTGAATGGAAAATTTCTTGGCTCTGTAAAATTTCAGCCATACTA